ATCAGTATAAATTACAACCACAGCCAACCCTATTTCTTTCCTTGTTCCAACTTTCAAAAAATGTGATAAAAGTTCAAATATTCTGTTCCTCCTTTTTTGCCCCCCTGTTGAAAACCACTGGATTATCATGTGGACATAGCAGATAACATCACATGAAACAGAGAAGTAAAACAGACGGTTAGGCCAGGGAAATATTCTCACATAGTTGTAATAGGAATTAGTTATTACTTTTTAACATCCTACCATCTGATGTTAAGGTTAGATTGTATGCACTAATATTCTTGTGTTTTTTTCTGTTGTTTTTACTGTACCTGCGTTTCCTCCTCTGTGTGTTTATCTATGATGTTTTGTGTATTTTTAGATATATGCCTACAACCTGGAACAATAGGAGGCATTGAGTCAGACTCAACTGTACTGTCCTGGCCGTCCTATGATTCCTTGAATATGGTGGACGGCAAGTGCAATGGGAAGGCTCCAGAGGAAGTACCTTCAAGTGCACTGCAAAATGGTTTGTGTCCATTCAATCCTCCATTTGGCCACTTACTCATTAATGGGATTTCAAGATTTACAGGTGTACATTTTTTTTCAGCTTTTTGTGAGGAAGTAACACATGGTAGTGAAAGGATGAATCAGACATGGTTCCCTATTTTTTCACACACAAATGGCATAGAGTCAATGAACTGCATCCACAGTTGCAAAAACTGGAACTATAATACCCCACACTAAGGTATAATGCTCAATGGGATATATTTATATATAATCACAGTAGATACTATAGTAAGCTTTGCTTTCTCAGATTTCCAAATGACTGTATGGTACAACCTTGTCCAACTAACCGGCTGTAAAAAGTAAAGAGTCAAAAATGGTTCCACAATCCTCTAAATTATTTTAAAATGTTTAGAAGTTAGTTAGTTTGCAAATAATAAATTATAAAAAATAAATTGGACGAATAAGATCCGACAATAAGTAGGGCATTGTACAGGAAAGGTGTAAGGACAGACTTGTGATGTCCATTTAAATTCATTATATTGCTGTAGCACCACCCACACCTATCTACCTAATGTCTAGGCAAAAATGCCTACAAAAACTTAGTAACTATTGTTGGTAGTGAAACAATGTGGAATTTCAAAAAACAAATGGTTCTACAAATATTTATATGCCAAATTTTAATAGCCATGTGTTGATACATTGAATTTAGTTTGTCTTACAATGAGCAAAACCCTCATAATTATGAATAACTCCTAAAATTAAAGAATTTCAAACAAACCAACAAACAACTGTCACTGAGGTTCTCCTTTTAACCATATCAACCGAACTATAGTGCATCCATCATATCAAAGGTGGATGACTGAGGCCTGAACCAGCCAAATTCTATATATCCGTGTAGTTTCAGTTTAAAAATTGAGGCAGTATCTTCTGGTCTCTTACAGGTATGCAGGAGATGGACCTTCTTCCTCTGGCAGAACTCCCTCAGTCAACACGATGTGCCTTGTTCAAGGGACTCCAGGAGACTCTGAGGCACAGACTTGTTCTGTCATATCTGCAGTGTGTGGTGAGTGACACAATGACATGACCCCTATGCCCAGATACACAGACACAGTTTATTTCTTTACAGTATATTGACACCTGTTTGTTTTTTCTCCATTTTCCCATCCTCTCTGTTAGCTGGACGAGTTGTGTGGTGGTGAAACACTCGATATGGCCAGGCACGAGGAGCTGTCGGAGGGTCAGAGGAAATTAGTGTCAGCCATACTGGACCAACCCGCCACAGACTGTGCCACTGAGAACGGCCAGTGTGGTGTCCCTGCTCACCTGAATGCAGCTCACCTGTTGGTCAGTGCCTTGGAAGGTAAGGACGATCTCAAGCCAACATTTCCCACAGTGCTTTAAGCCAAACAAGGTAGTGCTCAAGGAATGGTTTCCCGCAGTTTAACCTTGTTGCTTCTTCTATGTGTGTGTTGTTGTTTTTTTTAGAGCTGCCTGATAAAACTCTGAGCCTCTTGAGTGAGAGCTGTCCTGATTTTCTGGAGGCCTTTGACACAATGGTTCGTTAACTTATTTCATTTACTGCAAGTATTTTTATGACTAATTTATTGGAGGCCCGATAACATTTTGTTTGATGAAAATGTTTTAAAGAAATAGTTTGGAACATTTTGGGGAAAAAAACGCTGATTCGATTTCTTGCTGAGAGTTAGATGAGAAGATTGATAACATTTTTATGTTAGCTTAGCTTTTCATAAAGGAGGATTAAGCAAGCCTGTCCCTGTCCAAAGGTAAAAAATATCCACCAACCAGCATCTCTAAAGCTCACTTAAAAACAAATTATATGTCATTTGGTTAAGTCATACAAAACCCAACATTTCCCATGACTTCCTGGAGTGCACAATCCCAATCAGGCCAGCTTTTCCCCCCTGTTTTCAGTCTTCATGCTAAGCTACTGAAGGCTAAGAGACTGCTGGCTATAGCTTCATATTTAATGTACAGACAAGAAATGAGAGAAATATTAATCTTCTAATCTCACTCTCAGTAAGAAAGCAAATAAGCGTATTTTCCAAAATGTCCAAATATCCCTTTAAGAAATGTAAGATTGAAATCTTTAAAGCATTTATTTGCAACAAAGAATGATTTATCTATTCATCAATCTATCCATCTATCTCGCCAGATGTGTATGTTTAAGGAGAGCAGCGAGCCCCTCTTCATCCAGTGTCTCCCAGTCCTGCTGCAGGAAAACCAGGCCTTCCAGCTGGCAGAAAGGCTGCTCAGCTCCGCCAGTGTGACGCTGAGGAGAGACACCCACAGGCTGTGGGTGGAGACAGGAAGCGAAGTTCACTTGTTCGTCCTCTGTCTCAGCATACGTGGACTGTCCTTGCTGTGCAAAGGGCTAAAGTAGTAGTAGTAGTGTCTGCATGTGCACTTTTATTTCTTTTTCATAGACAACATTCTGTCCATTTCTTTCTTTATTGTAAACTTTATTGGGACTGAGCTTAATATTATATTATATTATATCTCAGAAAGCACTTCATATTTTTGTATAAAAAAAGAAAAAAAAATTATATTTTATGTCAAGAATTGTTTTACTTTGGTACTGCTTTAAAACGGTTCATAGCTGTGTCTCAGTCTGTGCACTTTAAGGAGTTTTATTAAGGAGTCTTACATAAATCTATCCTATAAATTCTTATTGTTTTGTATAAATCCAGTTCAATATTCTTATTTACTCATTTTTAGCTCACAATGAAAATGTGTCATTAGGTACTCCAGTGCCCCCCTGGACCTCAACCCACTGAAATGAAATATTTACATGCACAGTAATACATGTAGTAGAATTTAAGTTTTTCAATTAACAACAAAGTGTACAATTTATTATTTATTTATGCATGCCAATGGTACACAAAGTTGATATCATTTCTTCATTTATGCGGTATGCTGAAAGCTGTGTTGCATTCCTATTCTTGCCAGGATTTTATTTTTAATGAAAATGCATTTTATCGCTGTTACTGCTCCTAATCAAATATTATTTATCATGGGAACTTTATGTATATATAACATTCTGAATTGAATACCAAAAAGTTATATTATATTAATATGCAGTATTGATGTTTTTATATTTAGATTATGTCTATTTGAACATGAGCTATTACATTTTATGAAGCTGCCTTTGCCATGGCCTTACTCACTTTCAGTTTACATTATAATTTATTGTTATTTGGAAAAAAAAACTTTATACTATATTAATACATTTTGAAAAATCTTTGCATATAAGTCTCTGTCTGTGTCATTGCTCCATCAAATATGTTTGTCTTACATTGCATGAACAGTTTCTCCCAAAGATTCAAAGTGGGGAGTAATATTCATCTTTGTTAGAAATATTAAAGGAAAATGTTTACTTTTGAGTTTAACACCTGTAAAAAACTATAAACAATTAAATATTCATGTAATTACTTGCACTGAATTTATATTGTATTATTGTAAATGATAAGATGAAGATAAAGATATTGTAAACATATTCATTACCAGACATGTGTGACTGTCAGAAGCTGTCAGAAGGATTAATCATGGCAAGTCTGAGAATATTTCTAAGAAAGTTTTATAAAAAGTAACATAACAGATGTACAAAAGAGTGTGTGCACTGTACACCCATAACATGTATGACCAGGGGATTTATACAAAGAAAATAAACAAACAACAACCATAATTTCCCTCAAATTCAACTTGTATCTTTTTACCTCTTCTGTAACAAACAGGTTGGTGACTCTCAGCATTCCTCTGCCCAGTTTAACAAGTATAATCAGCCAAAATGATTGCAAACACCTGTGTGGGAGTGCAGGATGCTGAATTAAGGTTGAAGCATGTGTTAGTAACACTGTTTTTCCGACCCTGTACAATTGCAGCACTAGCACTAGTCCAAAGGTCAGCAACTTTTACCATCAGAAGAACATTGTTGGACAAAAAGAGAAAAATAACAATTTGTCTGGGGCCACAAAGCGTTGTTGTTTTCTTGCCTCAGATCAAATATATCAGTAATCCAGTAGTGGTGGTGGTGAAAGCAAATGAATCTGTCCATGCACTATGAAATT